TCACGTTAGAGTCACGAACTTATTTCTTGAAATGAGGACATGACTGTATGGCCTATATTCTTTTGTTGTCTTAAAGCCCATCACCCCTCGTCTCTTTCTTCATTTAACTATAGATTCTGTAATACTGTCATCTTTTTGACCTATCGTTAGCATTCAGGTATCACATCTTACTCTTAATACTTCATTAGCTCTCTTCTTATTTCCTGCTAACATTTCTGTCTATCACTTTATTCTAAAACTTTCAACAAGATATTCTTTCGCTTTTAGCTCTCCTTGCTCATTCATCGGCTTTTGGGGTTGCTCAACCCCCTCGCTCTACTAGGGACGAGAGTCACACTAAGGTAATATTTATCCCTTCCAAGCTTTCAATGCCTATCTTCGGAATTTTTTTGATCACGCTAGTATTCTCATCTAATTGTAATATTCTAGAGTGCACCACCTGGGTATCTCACAAGGAGATCTATTAGACCTTTGTAATATCCTTCGGAAATATCAACTAACGCAAACCATCCATTCCTTATTTTGGATTAATCTAACCCCATCCAGATTCTACTATCCTGTCCTTCTCTTAAACCATATTCGTTAGCTCCCATAGGGCATGACTGAGATAGGTGCGGCCGATTGTACGTACATCTATTCCTGTTGAAGGTAATTCAAAATGCTTATATCTCCTTTCCTGAATGGTAAATAATGATAATCTTTATTAATTGGGTACCTTGTACCCTTCTTCACCTTGCTTCTTTTACTTGCTGCAGCTTGTATCTAACTTCCTATTCCGTTATTCCTTTTTACCGCAAGAGTGGATAAGTATTCTTTCCTAAAATCTTCTTATCAAGAACCATGCACCTTTTAGTACATGCATGATCTGTTGAAGACCTCGCATTTACTCATCATAAGCAAGATACAAAATCAAATTCCTCTAATTCAACACTTCCACAGCTATATCTCTTAGTGATCATCTTTCTGAACATAGGCATCGTATTATTACGAATAAAATAGAAGTTCGTAATTTGAATTCTTATAAGTGAACTCTACCACACGATCTAGAGTAAGAAGAAAGAGTGACAGTCCTAAATACCCTGTAGTCTCCTGCATATAAGTGTGGTGCACGACACACCCATAAACAAGAATCTACTAGACACGGCTTGTAGACTCCCTAGGACAGAACTGCTCTGATACCACTTTTGTCATGATCCAAACCGATGGGCCGCGACGGGTATTCGGTACCTTACTCAACCGAGCACCAACGTAACGTATCTTTCATGTCATTCTATTATAGGTAAATGAATCGGAGTAAAGCATGAGGGAATACAAACTTATACATATGAAGTACGGGCCTATAAGACCAAAATAGCCACTCGTGTATTGATCATGGGCCGACAAGGCCATTACATCTTTTACGTACATGACATCTGTCTACAAGCCTCTAAGAATATATAATTTTCATAAAGGTCGGGACAGAGCCCCTCCATACCAAATAATACACATCTAAATCATACTAACCAATCAAGCAACTCCGAAGCAAATGGAGTGCATCAACATCTTCCGTTGAGCTGATAGCCTACTTGGAGGGCTCTCAACCTGTCTATCGGGACCTGCGGGCATGAAACGCAGCGTCCCCAGGTAAAAATGGACGTCAGTACGAATAATATACCGAGTATGTAAGGCACATAAATAAGTACATAACAGACATGGAAGAAATATAGAGTAAATAACTCAACCTATAAGTCTGGATAACTCTGTAAATCATGAAATACTTATAGTGTCATGCATATGCGTATGAATGTCATGTCATGCATAGGTACATGTGTTCATAACATCATCAAGCCTCTGAGGGCATCCCATCATATCATCTCGGCCACTGTGGGCAAATCATCAACGTATACTAGCTGAACAGGTGGTGGTGCGTATATAACGCTGTAACCTTTTCCCATATCCCATATACATATATACGCGTATATAACGTCGTCTTAGTCATGGGTCAATGTACATGTATAAATGCATGAAATGCATAACAAATACGTTAATAAGATTTTCTCGGAATGCCATAAAACCCAATATGCCTTTCGGATAAACTTTATCAATACATATTTTTCTGAGACCCATGAACAGACGATAGAATAATAAGACACATGGAGAATCAAGAACATAAGCATCTCTAGCATTTCTATGAATAGTGCCATTTATGGAAATTGTGCATTTGTTCATTTCGTTTGCATCGTATGGATCATGCCAAAGAAAGAAGGGATGCCTTAACATACCTGGAGTAGGGAAAGTTCCGTATAATATTCTTGGAGAAGATTGCACCGTACATCTTTAGAATCGTAAAATTTTTACATTGCTACGATTCTAACAATTCTCATTGGAATTGTGTTGTTGCAAGAATTCGTTGGAAGTCTTTGTGGATTGAATAACTTCTGTTCTTGAAAGGCAAAATGAATTGTTGTTGTTGGACTCGTTATTTAGAAGCTTGCTTACAAATAGGAAAGAACTTTGGAATGCATCAGAACTTAAGAACTCTGGAGTAACTAAAATCTTGTCGGTTCTCCTTGATTATTAATCTTCTTGTAGAAAAAGAGCTAAAGGCCATTATTGTGGTGAATGTTCATTTAAAGTTAAGGGTCCATTCTTTGAACAAAGAAATGCTTTAAACTAGGAAGAATGATAATCATTCTTGTTAAGAACATTGGGCTTCTTTTGTCCAAATTGAAAAATGAAATAAGACTTATCATAAGTCTTTACTTATTAATTCCAAATAAATCCTAGATAGCCACCTATTCAAGAAGATTAAAGAGTCATTTTCTAGGCTAGCAAATGCTGCCACGTTACATTTCTTGGGGGGAGGGGTGTTAGGCTTATCTCATAATTCATTAATTAATTAGGTAATGTCCCGTTATCCGGTAATTAACCAATTACTCGTATAATTAAGAATTATCTCAAATTACCTAAAAATACTACTCATTTTTAATATACCTTATACATTATACTACCGTGGTCATATGGTACCTTGCATGGTACTAGTTCATAATTATCGGGTATTATCGCTCGACCCGTATTTTATCTCAAATTGGTCACTTTCAACGAAACTCGTTTTCTTTAATTCGTGTACCCTTTATCCTTTATGACACATACTTATTGCTTGTTATAAAATAGCATAATCATTATAATCTCCAAATAATCTTTTCCTTGGACTGATGTCAATTACCGTACGATAAATTCAACGTACAATACTACAGGGTGCAACATCGTCGTAATCTAATACTGCGAGGCCTAACATCATCGTAATATTGTGGGGCGTAACATTCCGGAAGACCCTTGAGACAATAATATCAGAAAAGAACAAGACAAATAAATCCATAACACAAAAGAAACCAAAAGCATAATAATCAACATCGAAAGAGTCGGCAAATAAGTGGAAGGACAATAACTCCATACTATGCAAAACAGGAGAAATAGTGTGCACACAACAAAAGCCGCTAGCAATCCTAGATAAAACTCTATCAGACTAGCAGGTACAAAGAGGGAAAACGCTCGACGACCCCCTAACCTGCAACCCTAATGCTCGACATCCACACCTTCCTATCAAGAGTCATGTCCTCGAAAATCTGAAGTTGCGTCATGTCTTACCTGATCACCTCGCCCCATTACTTCTTAGGCCGCCCTCTACCTCTTCTCGTACCTGCCAAAGCCAACCGCTCACACCTCCTAACCGGGGACCTGGGCTTCTCCTCCTCATGTGCTTGAACCATCTAAGTCTCGCTTCCCGCATCTTGTCGTCCATGAGAGCAACGTCCACCCTCTCCAAATATCTTCATTCCTAATATCCTTCCTCGTGTGCCTGCACATCCACCTCAACATCCTCATTTCGGTTACTTTCATCTTCTAGATATGTGCATTTTTTACTTGCCAACACTTAGCCCCATACAACATGGCCGGTCTAACCACCGCTCGATAGAACTTACCGTTAAGTTTCGTTGGCACATTCTTGACACACATGACTCCAGACGCTAACCTCCATTTTCATCCATCCCACCCCCAATACAGTGTGTGACATCCTCGTTGATCTTCCTATCTCCCTGGATAATTGACCCTAGGTACTTGAAACTTTCTCTCTTTGTGATGACTTGTGAGTCGAACCTGACTTCCACATCCGCTTCCCCCGTCATGCCGCTGAACTTACGCTCCAGGTATTCCATCTTAGTCCTACTCAACTTGAAATATTTGGACTCTAGGGCCTGCCTCCGTACGTCCAGTCTCTCATTAACGCCACCTCGCGTCTCATCGATCAGAACTATATCATCAACGAACCTACACCATGACACCTCCCCTTGAATATGGTGTGTTAGGACGTCCATTGCCAGGGAAAATAAGAACAGGCCGAGCGCAAATCCTTGGTGTAACCCCATAACCATCGGAAAAAGCTTTGAGTCACCTCCCACTCTAACCCGAGTCTTAGCTCCATCGTACATATCCTTTATTGTTTTAATGTGAGCTACCAGCACACCTTTCACCTCCAAGCATCTCCAAAGAATGTCCCTAGAAACCTTGTCATACAACTCTAGGTCAATAAATAGCATGTACAAATCCCTCTTCCTATCCCTATATTGTTCCACCAGCCTCCTGATAAGGTGGATAGCTTTCGTAGTTGGACGGTACGGCATGAAACCGAACTGGTTTTCTGATATAGACACCACCTCCTGACCCTCCCTTCCACCACCCTCTCCCAAACTTTCCAACAAAAAGAACCATAATAAACTTTCAACCTAATTACAGAACAATTCCGAACACTGTGATAAGAATAAAACCTATATATAGGTGTGCAGCCAAAGCATTCCCCCACCATCATTTTGCCAAGAGGTCCATATACGCACAAAATGAGCACTAGCAAAAGTATAATGATAGCTACAGAGAGAGCAATGCAAGAGAAATTAAAGCGATATATTAACCTAGTGCACCTTCATTAGAAAACGTCACTAAAAGGATATTTTGGTCTAGACAAGTTTAAGTTAGAATATGATTTTTAAACCGAAGAAAATGATAAGATGACAAGTTTACTTCCCCAGTCCGATTTGAGCTAAAGAAACTACAGTTTGGGAGTATGACGACTCTCAATCCACCTTGAGCAAAAGTTGCGTAAATTACGTAACAGAACCCAGTGAACTGATCAAAAAACTCAAATTCCCACGGAACCCATACCATAGAAATAGTTGCATAAAGAAGCCTACAGAGAAAACTGACTCACTGGACCAAAAATAACATGAGCCAGCTATGAAAAACAATTCCTAATACACCTGTATCTGTAGTAATTGGCAGTTTGGTATTGAACTCCTCAGCAAATGTCATTAAACTAGCAGGAGATTTTCTCTGACATTTGTTCGAGTACTGCAGAAAATGAAATAAGCAGACACCGGCAAGACTCCTGTGAATATGTTACATCCTCATGTACCCTCCACGGCCCCTACTGCCATAGTTATTATACCCCCTTCCCCAACCATAGCCACCACGGTGCCCACCATGTCCAGGCCCATAGCCACCATATCCAGGATAAGGCCTTTGTTGATGGTTACCGAAAGTCTGGGAGAAAAACAAAAAAGGAGTAACTACTCAGTTACCACCAGTAGTTTGTAATATTTGGTCAAAATCCAGTAAAATTATTTGAGGGGGAGACAAACCTCAGTATCCTGCCTCATCCTCTGAGAGAAACGATTCTGCCCATTCCTACCTCCACGAGCAACTGTGTTACGAGATATATTATCAAAGAAGTCATCCTTATTATAGGCAGGCTGCACAGAGAACAGAACAAGAATTAAATGGTCAAACTTAAATGCTTATGGTGATCATAATATACGTAACACGACTCAAGAGCTGGTAAAGAGGAATACGGTACAAAATAGCGTGTGGATAATTCAATTATACATGCTAAACGTGACACCTACTTTGGGATCAGCATTACAATCCAAGCCATGACCATCTTCATTCCCCTTGTTTTCATTGCCAATGTCTTCACTGTCCATTGTTTTAGCTGTTTGTTTTGCTTTTCCAAGATAACCCCATACTTCATCCTTATTAAACTTCTCGTTCATTCCAACAAAATCGAATTCTTCAGTAAACTCAGAAGATGATTGCAACTGCAACAGTTTAACAAAAAATAAAAATAAAAAATTGTCAGAAGCTAGATGTCCATGAAATTGCTTCCAGAAACATAAAATGGTATAAAGCAGAACCAGAAGGTTTTCCCATATAAAGCAAAGAAACTTCCAAAGCAAAGGTAATTTGCATTGTTAAGGAAGCATCATTTGTTTTGCAACTCTTTCGGAAATGATATGGATCTTGAAGTCCCTACACTTCTCAATACGACGATTGTTACAGCAGCTATTTTAATGCAATTCTCATCTTGAGGTGCCCAAGGAACGTAGAAGTGGTTACCATAGCTAATACTTCTCGTTTAAATAATTAGCTTCTTAGACAAATCATTGTTCATAAACCCTCTCCATGATGTACTTTCAAGGTTTTGCACCCCTCTCAAGCACAAAGAAAAGGGAAAAACAAAAGCACCTCGCTAAAGTTTTTCACAAAACTAGCGAAAGCGTTCTTCAAACTCACGTGAGAAGAATGTAAGATGAACAGAACCTTACGCACCCGTTTTTCAATCCCGCAAGATTGCAAGAAGCGTTGAATAAAGGAAGAAGAATGAAATAAAAGATAAATCACGTTTTTGAAGCAAGAGCTTAGAAAAACTAATCAAGAAAGAAATAAAAGATAAATCACGGTTTTGAAGCAAGAGCTTAGAAAAACTAATCACCAATGTCTTTTTAGCATATTGAGCCTTTTAAATAGGTCTTACAATAAGTAAAATTGATGAGATTAAGGAACACTAATTCTAATTGAACTAGAATAAAAATAAGGTTAAGAAAAGCCTATTCTAACTAAAATAGGAGAAGGGGTTCTAAAAGAAATGGAAATACCAACTAACAATCCTAGTTTGACAAGAACTACAAATATAATCCTACTAAAAGAGGAAATAAGAAATCCTAATCTATACGAAGAAGAAATCCTAATCTTAAGATTCTTGGACTTCTTGAATTTCTTGGATTCTAGGTCTTCTTGATCTTGCATCACCCCACCACCCGAGCCCTTTGTTCCATCTCTTTGGCTCCTTTGGCCCAAATCTCTTTCTTCATCCTTGTAAATTCCAGATTTTCAGCTTGAATATGCAGTGGTAAAACCTAAAATGCAGAGTTAATTTTCACAAGACCCTATGGTGCTATTCTGCCATTGTTTCTCTCTTAACTCTCATACTCTGAAAATACATCCCTTCCACCCTCCCCTCTGTGAGAGGCCTTAATATGTCATCCTACCTCAAATTACTAACTTTCATCCTAAGTCCTAACCTACTCATACCCACCACATGCTCTACACTCTATGGGCACACCTTATACTTCGAAGAGTGGAAAGAGGTATTAGCTTTTGCGTCTTTTTTTTTTTTTTTG